GTACTTATGTCAACAGTTCATTATGGTACAACATATTTGATACGTTGTTCTATAAATAATATAAATAACAGTTCTTACATAACAGTCAGTTCTATTTACCCATGGAAAGACTTTTCATTGCAAAAATCTCTTTAAGTCTCTCCTTCAATAGCAAAAATTTGTTGGGGGAGGAAATACTATTGAACTAACTGTTTCTTCCTTTTGAGGATACTCTGGAGAGCACAGCTGAGAGAGTTTTTTTTCCCCTTTTGTAGCCTGGGATAGTATGGTGGGAACAAAATAATTTTGGTAACTTAATCCATCACTACTTTGTGAGTTTTGGGTTTTTACCAACATGAACAGTGGACCAAAGAAAAGGAAAGAATAATAACGTAATTAGGGTAATCCTTGATTTTCGACCAGAACTGAGCCCAACGTTGGTGGTGGTGAGACATTTGTTAAGTGAGTTATATCCCCATTTTACAACCTTTCTTCCCACAGTTGTTAAGTGAATCACTGCAGTTGATCAGTTAGTAACCCAGTTGTTAAATGAATCGGGCTACCCCATTGACTAGGCTTGTCGGAAGGTTGTAAAAACGTGATCGCATCACCCTGGAACACTGCAATGGTCATAAGTATGAACCACTTGTCAAGCATCTGAATTTTGATCATATGATCACGGGATGTTGCAAAGGTTGTAACTGTGAAAAACTTTTTTGTGACTTTGGTCACTAAATGAACTGTTGTAAGTCGAGGACTACCTGTAGTGTTTCACTATAACAAGATTTTTGGTTTCTTACTGTTTTCCTAGGTGAATGGAGCACTTGGGCAAAAAGTATCTATTGCATGCAAAAAAAAAAAAGATATCTTAAATACCTTCTGTTTTGAATTTTCAGATTGACATCCATATGTAGTCTTATTTAAGAATTGGCATTCTTTATTAGAAATGTTTTAAAGTTTTACAATACAAAAGTTAAATTCGTTTGACAAAAGGAAATCTAGAATGCTTTCACATCTCCATATGAAGTAAAGGGTATTTTCAAAGTCAAGATCCATCCAATGCAGCTTGTGTTTTAGTCAAGATTCTCCCTTAACTTCAAAGTGATTCACTTTCTTATATATTTATTTCTCTGTCTGCCTGTCTGTCTATTTCTGTCTGATTTCTTTACCTTTCTTCTGAAGAACCCTGATGAGAACCCTGATTTATCAAGGAACCTCTTAAGAGTGTTAGGAGCTTATCTTGATAACTGATCATTAATCAAGATGAATCCCCATTCATTTCAGTCTTGATTTGCATCCAATTATATGAAGGAGACAGCTTTAGTCACCTAGATGGATCTGTGGTGGGAACTAGACAAGGAGAATGTAATTCTGTTAGTTTGGCTGGATTTCTTAGTGCTTAACCAATCATATTCTACTAGTTCAGCCTTCTGAAAAGAAACTGAATAATATTTTGCTGCAATTCCCCAAAGGCAGTTTTAGAAGGTCATGTTGAATAGATTATATTTGACACATTGACCACTTCTATATAGTATCCCACAAGGTGCTAGTATGCTTCCATGTAACAGAATATCAGTATGAAACTTGGGAAAGTTTGTACGGCCTGTTTTCAGTATTTTTTCATTAAAAATTGAGATAAAATCAGCCTAGTTCAAAATTCCTGGACACTCTACTTTATGTAAGGCCACCTCCACTAACTTGATGTTTTTGAAATGTGCTGGGTTTCAATTGCTGTCATTTCCAGCCACAGTGACCTTTGATATCCTCCTAGAGCAAGGGTCTTAAAACTTGGCAAGTTTAAGACTTGTGGACTTCAACTCCCAGAATTCCTGAGCTAACATGACTGGGGGAGGAATTCTGGGAGTTGAAGTCCACAAGTCTTAAAGCTGTCAAGTTTGAAGACCCGTGTCCTAAAGAGTGACTAACTAGAAAATATGACCTGAGATAAATTTGCTTATGAAACCCAGTTAGTCCGTATGGTTGTTGTTGTTTTTTCATCACTTGTATTTATTTTATTTACAAGATACATTCAATTGACATTTATCTGAGAATACCTGAATAAGCACTGAACCAGCAGTGGTATGTCTGATAAGTTGAATTAAATTTTACAACTGGGTTGAATGTAAACTCAGCAATAATGTCTATAAAAAAATATAGTCTCTGAAGACCTGTCTAATCTTACTTTTTAAGCATTCAATCTTCGAACTTGATCAGACTGTAGTTTAAAAATCTCATACCATTATTCCATAGCGTGTGTCATTTTTCAAATAAAAGATAAGCTGTTTCACTGCAAAGGATTATGGGTTTTTTGTTTTTCGGGCACAGAAGAAAATTAACTTACACCTCACTGCCTCTACTCATTTCTTTTATTTTATTTGCTTTGTAATTACAGCAAGACAGCTTATGGTCAGATACCTTTTTAGCTAATAAAATGGCAAAATGCCTTTTAAAGATAAAGTTATCATTGGATAAATTCATCTTATCCTTATTTAAACCCACTAAAGTTTCAATGGAGAAATAGACTACCAAAAGCATATCAAATAATATATTCTATAAAAGACAAAAAGAAGAAATAAAAACATTATGGCACCTACATAGAAGTTACCCCAACCACTTCAAGCGAATGATAAACTATTGTTTATTATCATTTGAAATTGTTCAGTGAACAGAATTTTGTGTTGCTTATTTAAGCCTGTCTCTTTTGAGTTCCAAGTTCCAAATGTTTGAAAAAGTTTTTACTTTCTTCTAAGCTACCAGCTTTATGTGCTTTTGTGGATACAGATTTAAAGACTGGTATTTGTCAACAATATACAGCACCAGATTCAGGGAAATAATATACCAGTGAAATGTGATAAAATTGAAACATTTTGGACAAGGTGTTTTTGACAGATGAAACAAAATTTGAACTGTTTGATCACAACTACACAAGATGACATTCAGAGAGAAAAAGGTGAAATTTTAAAAAAAGAGTGCCTTGCTAATTGTGAAACATGAAGATGGTTCTGTTGTATTTTGGGGTTTCCTGGCAGCTAGTGGCAGAGAAAATATTGTGTGAAGGGAAGGAAAGAATATCAGTTTATCCTTGAAGTTAATGTCCTAATCCAGTGAAGAAATTAAAATTGAAAACTATTTCAACCTTACAATAGTTGCAGGAAAAGAAAAAAAAATGTTTTGGAATGGCCTTCACAGCCATTTGAATGTCACTGAGACCTCAAAAATGCAGTGGATGCAAAGAGATCTAAGAATATTTCTGAGCTAGAAGAATTCTGCAAGGAAGGTTTGGGGAGTGGGACAATGGGACAATGATAAGCAAGGATAGAAAAATTCTTTTTTTAAAAAGTTTTATTGTTTTTAAGACAAACAAACAAACACAACATAAAAACATCAAACCATCTTCCATATATGTGCATACAGTGTGTCGATTGGTTTACAAATTGTTTTGTGCTTCCACTTTGTAATCTTCAATTACAATTACATTGTATATGTTCTCATATTGTCAATCAAATATTCCTAAATACATTAATATCATTGTACATTAATTAAATACATTAATAACATTGTTAATCAATCATTTGACTATACTATTATTCATTCATGTTTTACAAGATAATCCATATTTTACTTAATTTGTTTTATGACAGTTCATATTATCATCTCAAATCTATCCTATAATCATTTTGTAGATATAATAAAAATACATCTTTATATATTCATTATGTTCTAAAAATCTGCATATTTCATTACCATGTTTTATTGTCTAACCATTGATAGAAAAGATCCCAAATTTTATAAAATTGTTTATCTTCTTGTTCTCTGATTTCAAATGTCAATCTACTCATTTCAGCACATTCCAATATTTTCTTAATAGCTTCCTCCTGTGTTGGTATTTTCTCATTTTTCCAGTTTTTAGCAAATACAATCCTAGCTACTGTTAATACATTTACAATCAAATATTTCAATTCTTTACTATATATTTCAGGTAAAATTCCCAATAAAAATATCTCTGGTTTCAAGTCTATATGCTTTTTTGTCATTTTTTCCACCCATGTGTAGATTTTAGTCCAATATTTTTTGGCATCCGCACAAGTCCACCACATATGGTAATATGAGCCAGGTACCTGATGACATTTCCAACATTTTTCAGATTTGTTCTTGAACATTCTTGCTATTCTTGTTGGGGGGAAATGCCACCTGTAAAACATCTTATACAAATTTTCTTTATATGCTGTTGACATTGTCATTTTATAATTTGAGACCACAATTTTTGCCATATCTCTAGATCAATTCCATAACCAAAATTCTTCCCCCAAGCAATCATTGTTTCTTTGACTTGTTCTTAGGATAGAAAAATTCTTATTGTGCTACAGGAAATGTTTAGAGGTTTTACAACATACTGAAAGGATATTCATAATTTGGTATCTGTCATATTCATGATTTTATTTAAATTATGTAAAGAACTGTAAATAAATAGAAAGTTTACATTCAAATTTACAGAAATCTATTTACCTTTATACTGTGTAAAAACTGCGTTAGCATCTGTTTTCTTAGGGTCTCCTTGAAATGCACAATTTGATAAAGATGTGCTATATTTTTTGCAATTAATAGAATATCTGGGTGTTCCTTTTGAGCAGATTTTATGAAGCTTTTAGCTCATAAAATTCTGACTTCAAAGTGTTAAAAAAAACGCTCAATTTTTAAAATGAAATTAGATGTATCAAACACAACCCTGATGCAGCTGTTTGAGTTTGACACCCCTGGTATAGATGATCATATCAAATATTTATGTGACATCTGCAATAGTGATAAATGCACTTTGCTTGTAGAAAAGATGAAAAAAATCACACTTTTCTTTGGGAGGATCTTAAAATACTATGAAGTAAGATATAGTTTGAGAGTACTCCACATTCTCTATTTAAAACTTGTATTATATTAGAATATGGCAAAGGTTTCTCTTCACAGTGGATACATTAATTCCTCCCTTTATTTATTGCTAAGAGCTTCCTGATTGTTTCTTATTCAAGGGACCTGAAACTGGACAACATTCTTTTGGATGCAGAAGGCCATTGCAAACTAGCTGACTTTGGAATGTGCAAGGAAGGAATTTTGAATGGAGTAACAACTACTACCTTTTGTGGAACACCTGATTACATAGCTCCAGAGGTATAATAGTATGCATTGAAGTGTATAGAACTCTATTTTATGATGCTAGTTTAATTATCCCTCCATGAAAAACTGAAACTGATTTTTTTTCTATGTAATCCTATTTGGGATTGAATATGATGATGACTGTAGTACATCACAATAGGAACTTGGTTAAAAAAAGGGGGGGGGATTAATGGGTACTTCCCATACAAATTTTCCAGTACCATTCAGAAAGCAATTCCATCTTGTGAAACACATAAAACACAGGAGAAACTCTGTCGGAGCAGAATGAAGGCCTATCTCTTCTAGTGTTTTTTCATATTACAGCCAACAACAGTAAAGTTTACAACCATGATAGGAGTTTGATAGCAGACTTCTGCCTCTAAAGACAGGAATAACCCATAAGGATCACTGACTTTTCAATCTTTTTTTTTTCACATGAACTTGCTAGCTTCCTTTGGAGTAGAATTAGGTGATGTCCATCATCAGATTTAATCATATCATCTGATTGGCAATTCTGTAAGTTAACAGTTTCCTAAGTGAAGAACTGCTTTTTCTTTTCTTGTGTAAATCTACTTTCATGTAGCTTCATTGATATACAACTAGGTTTAGTGTATTATGAGTATACTGGGTGGGTAGAATAACATTCTCACTGATAAACAATGGGCAGACATTGTGTCACACTGAAACTTTTTCAAAGAATTTACAGGTTTTAATTTAAGGTCCAAGTGAGTTTCATTAAAACTGGCTTTAAAAAATAATTTCATAAAATCATGGAAAAACAGAGTTGGAAAGGACCTTGGAGGTCTTTTAGCCAATCCCCTAGTTGAGCAGGACCCTATACCATTCCAAGAAAATGGTTGTTCAATCTTTTCTTCTATCACCTCCAGTGATGGAACACCCACGACTTCTGGTTGCAAGTGGTTCCAATGATTAGTTGTTCTGATTGTCAGGAAATGTCTTAATTCTAGGTAAGATCTCCCTTTAATATATTCCACCTGTTATTTCTTAACCTGCCATCAGGTGTTTTGGAGAATAGATTGACCCCCCCTTCTCTTCTGACAGCCCCTCAAGTATTGGAAGACAACTATCATGTCACCCCTGGTTCTTCTCTTCACTAGACTAGGCATACCTAGTTCCCACAACCGTTCTTCATATAGTTTGGCCTCCAGACCTCGAATCATCTTTGTTGCTCTTCTCTGCATTCTGTTTTCTTCAAATAGCAGGCAATATGACTTGTCCACATTGTGCATTTTTATCCATTGATTTCTCTCTTTCTTTTTCTTGATTTCTCCTAACAGATTCTCCAGGAATTAGAATATGGTCCTTCCGTGGACTGGTGGGCCCTGGGGGTTCTCATGTATGAGATGATGGCTGGACAACCTCCCTTTGAAGCTGATAATGAAGATGACCTCTTTGAGTCTATCCTACATGATGATGTGCTATATCCAGTGTGGCTTAGCAAAGAAGCTGTCAGCATTTTGAAATCTGTAAGATTATCTATTTTTCTTTTTAAATTTTAGTTTTTCCTAGAACATTTGAGGAACAGCCACCCCTGGGAGTTCAAGTATAGTTCAGAGAGCCATTGTCCGTATACAAGGGTCTGGGATGAATTAAACTTCTTGTGGGAAAGAGACAAAATGTTTGTGTTCTTTGTATCTGTATATCTGTATACATGCCTGTACTTGAGAGAATCATGTTTCAGGAAGAACCAAAAACACAAGCAAACTGGAGTGCCTCATAAAGCTGAATACTCAGATTATATGTTTGGCTAAAATGAAGACAGAATTATGCAACTGTGGATGCAAGTCCCACACAGATGGGCCCCAATCCAAAAGATATTTAACAAAATGACATGCTGATCCGTCATCATGCTGACTTAAAAGTCAGCTACTTTTTCTGGCAGATGATCCTGTGTTTCTTACCACCACTGCTTCTGGGCAAATGTCAATTAGAATTTATTGATTAGCATTCAAAGAATGTTCTTGATCTTGAAGATTTTTTTTTGAAAAAGGTGGCAAAATAAGGATGAAGATAGTTTCAATACATTTCATATCTTTATTTTAAGATGAGTGGGTTCTACAAGGGATTTACGTTTAATGGATGAGTTCCTAACCAAAAGTTAATTCCCAGTTAATTCCCTGGAACAGGTAACACTGCACTTTGCTCAAAATAAAATATTGTAACATCCATAAAATATACATTTAATTGTCCTCATGCTGTTCCTTACACTGACAAAACAACTCTGCCTGTTGTTTTGGCAGTGGAAAAGAACACTGCCAAAGGGTGGAAGATTAGCAAGCTAGTGAGAACTGTTTAGTAAAAATAAATTATGAGGGCAAATCTCTCCAAAGTACTGTAGCTAAAAAAAGGCTGTATGTGGAATGGGAACTCATTCCAGGGATGGGAATATAACCACATCAGTTTTCTGAGAGTTTGGACTTTGAACATTTATATCCTGATAGTCCACATCCACATGTTTTATTGGTTTTTTAAAAATAAAAAACAGTTTTGAATATGTAGTCAGTTGTACTGGAAAATCTAAAACCTTGCTGCAAACCTAATGTTTCTACCTGAACATAAAGCCAGGAAAGTTCCTATTTAGAATCCAGCAAAAGTCAGACAATCCATTCATTATCATAGAGATATTTTGTGCAACGGTTTCGCTAGTAAATACCAGTAAAATTATGCCCATGGTATAGAGTACAATCAGCCAAGAGAATCTTGGAGGAACTTATTGGGAGGTGAAGAATATGTGGAATAGAATTTGAAATAGCCTTTGTTTCCTTAATTGCATGATAGCTAAGATCACCCCTCATAGTTAGTTACTTAAATTTTGAAATAAGCCCTTCACAGTGAAGTTCACTGACACATCGAGGAGAAAGAAATGAGCATGCTAATTTCATCCACTTCATTTTGTCCTCTATATGCAGATAGTGAATTCCTAGAAGGTTGAACCTCTGCTAACTATAGAAGGTCTCTAGGAGAGGGAAGACTCTGGGGAATTGGGATCTTCAATGGTATGGAGATCTATTGATAGGGGAAGGTCTCCTCTGTAGACATTTATGGAAGTGAGAAGAAGGCTCATCCATAAAGTCATTTAAGCACATATTGATTGTTACCGCATTTCTTACTCGGAAGAGAAATAATGTGAGGGCTTTTCCCACCCACCATGCAAACAGCATCTTATGACAACAGAAAGAAAACTTCTCTGGGGTGAGCTTTAGCCTTAGATTAATGTTTGAAACCTGGGCTGTTCATCTTGTTCTTTAGCAATATGAATTAACCGAAGAGCAGGAAAAACAGAGGAAATGGAGGGGCGTCTATGTACTTGACTGCCGAATATTAACAAGGGATTAGCTTTGGAACACTTTGTTTCCTTACATTGTACTGTTAGATGAGGGCTTTGTTCTTCGGGCACTTTAAATTGGAATCCTGTTAAGATTTTTAAAAGTACTTTGAGTAGCTTTGGCAGAATGATTTTTGGTTTCTACTCAATTTTATTTATTTTATTGCACTATTATGTGGCAATTTATTTACAGTTTCCAAACAAAAAATATCCAGACTCGGAAACTGAAGATATTTTGAAACTTGGGGAGGGTGGCAGGAACAACAGTGGAAAATCTGGGATTTAATTTCTCTGAACTGATCTTCAGTGCTGGATGATGGAGAGCATATTAATTTCTGAGGTTTTGTGAAAGATACCACTCTGAATTTTTAGAATGTTTACACATCTTATGACTTTGTGGCATTCAAAAACCCTTTTACTTTTTAAAAACTTAATATTAGTTCTCTTGAAAATAAGACAAAATGAGGAGTAAAGGAGCCAAGGCTTGGCAGTGGGAAATATACTTTGCATTCCAAAAAAAACGTAGGCTCAGTTGTCGTCCTCTCTGATTAAAGGAAATCTGAAATACAGGTTTTATGAGAGGTCTTGGCAAGTGAGATGCATAAGCTGCCCTATCACCTTTCTTGCAGCATTCAGAGACCACTAAGATTGTACCAATGAAATTTGCTGGCAAACAACCAAACATTCATGTAATTTCCCATCAGTTATTGGTAGGAATTTTTATTTTTATTTTTTTTAGTTAAGAGCATTAAAGCCTGGATTGGTTTAACTCATCAAGAGAGTAGGAGGGGAACAAAAAGCCTTTCAGAAATGGGAAGAAAGACTGGGAATTTTATCCAGCAATATTATTGCACCAATAATCTTAGCTCATCTCTTCTGTTAAAAAAAGTTCAGTCCTCTCCCAAAAAGCGTTCACATCAGTTCATATACTTGTGGTGTATATAATGAGTTTGGCAATCATTGTAATAATGAATTTTTTTTTGAGATTTTTGCTCTTATCACTGAATACTTTAAATAAGACATGGATCTTCCTAGATCCCTCAACAATATGCTCTATATTATTTGTAGTTGCTTTCCAGATTTTGTCTGGAATATTTTTCATATTCATACAAAAGTATGAAAAACAACTATCTGATGTGATGAATAGCAGAGAGGTGCTGCTCTTGTGCAGGGGCTGTTTAGATGTAACATCATTTTCTTGAAGATATTTTTAATGTAAATAATTATTTGCCAGATCTCATGGAAACAGACAAGGATTTCAATTACCTCTTTAATATACGGTATAGTTAGTGGATGGATCTGTTTGACATTTTAATGTTTAAAAGGCACAATTCACTAAGAATAAAATTCTTTGATTAGGTATTTCTTCCATGCTCCAGCACTTTATATTCCCAAGTCACATTTGAATAAGAAGTGCTAGATGTAAGCATAGCATATTCTATCAGCCATATCACACGTTAAAAAAATAATAATTTCAGTGTCCTGGCTGTTCCATGTTTTTTTTTTTATTGCTCTATTTCAAGGGGATGATGAATGCTAACCAAGCTTGTAGTTAAGGTTCATTCCTCTAAGCCAGGGTGTCAAACTCATGTTGTCACAGTGACATCACGTGACATATCAGGACTTTCCCCCCTTTGCTAAACCAGGAATGGGCGTGGCCAATGCATGATGCATCTGGCTCGCAGGCCAGGAATTTGACAGCCCTTCTCTAAGGATTCTCCTGTTCAATCCTGCTTCCCTTCTGTTGATGTTACTAAAATAGCAGCTTTTTCATTTCAATCCTGTTAGGGCCAAACACATTTTGTGCTGATTAAAATGTATTTGTGTTAATTGAAAAATAGCCTGGTTTTTTTTCCCTTTACAACACCTGTTAATGTTTTTTGGTTCTACTGTGGTTTCTGTTTTTGAGTCTTTGTATCTATCTTCTTGAACCAACAATTTCATCTATACTATTTGTTATACCCAGATGTACTGTATTTCTGCCCCAGTTTTAAATGACGTAGTATACTCTTTTGTGGGTAGCTCAGCTTGGATTTCACCATCTCACCATCTCGATTAAAAGAAAATACAAGAGGTTGCTTTGTTTCAGATGGTCATCTTCTACCTTTCTCTATTCCTTCGCTATCGATCTGTCAATTGTTTACATTCTCAGTGATCAAACAATATGCTCTCCATGTACCCATTAATAAAGAGTAGTAAAATGGTGACATTCAGTTTTGGAATATTTAGTGAATCTGTCAATTCTTGTCTATGAAAATTGCACAGCATTTGGATCATAGTCTAGATTATTATATTAGCCAAATGTACTCTTTTTTCTGACTCATTCGTATATTAAAATTTTACCCCTTGTATATAAATTTGAATGCAATAAAAAGCACAGTAAAACATAACATTGATTTAAGTACATATTAACCTGATTTAAGAGTTGCTGTGGTTTATTACTGTATAATGTTTCGAAATGGTCTACCTCAGATCAATAAAGACAACTGCAGTTACCATAGAATAATAACAGAAAGTTCAAAACTCTACTGAGTTAGGAAAGGCGTAAGAAAGACTAATGCAAATATAATATTTTGCAAGATGTTTCTGCTTTTCCCAGAGTTTGTCTTGCTGTATCTTGCCACTTTATACAATTTTTCCAGTAACTGAAATTGGTTATTTGTTTTCCATGCAGTTCATGACAAAAAACCCAAACAAACGCCTGGGCTGTGTGGCATCTCAGAACGGTGAAGATGCCATTAAACAGCATCCATTCTTCAAAGAAATTGACTGGGTTCTTCTAGAACAAAGGAAAATTAAGCCACCCTTCAAACCTCGGATTGTAAGTATTGAGTTGGGCAAGAGAACTTGCATAACATACTATAAAAACTGTCTGATTACCTTTATGATAGTAAGGTTGCAGAAGTGCAATAGAACTGTTAACATGGTCAAATTTTTGCCATACCAAGGAAAGTGGATTAATTGTTTTTCTTAGAACTATGTGTCATACTTGTTAATGAAACACTGAATGTGGAAATGATCAAGAACTTATGCTATCCTTTTTTTGAAAGTAAATCATTGTCATCATCATCTGATAACCTTTATATCTAAAACCATTAATTTTGTGTTATGGAATAAGTTACCATGTTTTCATGCTGCCACTTATTGTCACTGAAAACACAGCTAAGATAATCATGCTTCACATATTAATCTAAATATGTGAAGGTACCCTCAGTATCCAAAACTCATATTGGAATAGGTATTCTTTCATGTAATATATTAATATCTGCATCAATTGGGAATCATATTTATGACTGTCATATATTGTTTTGCTTAGATGCTAGATGTTTCACTCTTGTTTCGGATTGACTGAGATGGTTGACTAACACTGCTAGTAACTCTGAATTCTTTTTGTTGTATGTTGTTTATTTTTATTGTTATAATTGGGTTTTTATTTTTTGTAAGCCACCCAGAGTCGCTGTTTGTGAGTGGGCAGACATATATATTTTCTAAATAAATAAATTCTAATTCTATAAAAACTCAAGAAATTCAGTTTGGTGTAGTGATTAAAGCACTGGCGTAGAAACCAGGAGGCTGCGAGTTCCAGTCCTGCCTTAAGGCATGAAAGCAGACTGGGTTACTTTAGGCCAGTCACTCTCTCTCAGCCCAATTCACTCACTGCATAGAATTCGTTGTTTTGGGGAAAACAGGAGGTGGAGGAAGTATTAGTATATTCAACACCCTGAGTTATTTATAAAGCAATAAATATGGGTTGATTTTTTTTAAAAAAAATCCCCTTGCTATTTTTTCCTTAGTCCTGATTCACTGGAGACTTGGCAAATGCTATAATGAAATCCAGTTTATGGTCTCTTTTCTTATTCAAGATCCTAATATTGTTAATATATAGTGCTGAAAAAAATGTATTTTCTTTATTCAAAAGAATATATTTCCCAATGATAAAGTTCATCAGCAAATATCCAATATCATTTTCCTAAACAAGATCTCAATTTATACTGTGTCTATGTAAGATCATCAGATAACAAGTTACTTTCATGGCTGAGTTAGCCATTCAGAATATTTCTCATAAAGAGCTCTTTTTCATAGTACTTAATGTCAATCTATGCATATCTGAAAGAGTTCTCACTGACAAATAAACAGCCATGAAATCTTGAATGATGAAAGACTAGAACATGCATATTCAAGTGGGGCGTCATTTTGGTTTCCTTGTCACAATTCTCACTCAGTTCTAGCTCTCTATTGTATGTTATTTGTATGTATATTGAACATTGACTGGGGTAGGGAGTTATTGGGTTTTGTATTGGAGTTTTATTGTAAGCCACCCAGAATTACCAAGAGTGAGTGGAGTGGTCATATAAAATTTCTTAATAAATAAATAAATAAATTGAGGCTATTTCATTCTAAGCCAATCTATTCATACCATTTAAATGTGGGCATTTTTTAAGCTTTCTTTTTTTTCTCCAGTGTTCACTAAAAGACTGACAAAAATTGAACATAGAGTAAAAAAAACACCTTGCATTTCCTGGTATTGTTAACCTCTTTTCCTCTGAGCATGAAATATATCATTTGCTGGCTTTTATGTGTGCTTTATTTTATTATTTCTCCTTCACATTTTCTCATTCTTAGCCAAATTAATAATAGTCAAATATAGCACTGATTTCAGATCTGCATGAAAAGAGGGAAGAAGTGGATAAACACAGATATGTGTTGCGTTTCTGTTTATACTTTTATTGCTTCTCCAACTAATAGCTGAAATAAAGTGTAGGCATTTTTGTAGGCAATTAAATGCTTGCATTAAGTTTTTACTCTCAGCATAAACCACCAGTGTGTAGTTAGCTGGATCTTCCTCTGATCATCTCCATGACTTAGGGATACTTATCTAGGCTGAAGTCTAGATACTTGTGATGTCAAGTAGAATAATGAAGGGAAAGGGAGGTAATTCATAGCCAATGATATGTGCTCAGTGTTAAGGCTGAAATATAGGAGGGTGAATATAGATGAATCTGCATTCATTACTGGGGTATTGGAGTGCAAAATGAATTTTAAAAAACCTGTAGTAGATTTCTTTGTAAAAATACTCCTCAGCTTTTATGAAATCAAAATATTTATTCATAGAGACTGTTCAGGGATCTTTTGCTCTCATTACTGCCTTCTAATCCACTACTGCTGTTTGAGGTATGAATTGGATTATGTTAGATTATCATGCTCACTTTGTTATAGTGTAAAATCACAGAAGAATATTGCCCAGCGCACAAAGAAATTCATCTTTCTTCTACCAAATTCAACATTCCAAATTAATCTCCTGCCTGGAAATATAGCCAGAACATTATTTTTTACACTGTAAATAGGAAAACTCTACACAATTTGATTAAGGATGCCCAGCGTAGTTCGCTTTAATTTTGTGTACATTGCTTGTAAATATGTTTATTCCTAACCCCACTCCATTACTGCTTTTTCATCAAACGTCATCACACCCCAAAATGTTATGTATCTCTTTGGGTAACTTGGTTGATCAAAAAAAAAAAAAAGTGGAAACTGCAATTGCATGAAAAATGCTAGGAAGAATATACAGTTTAATCCTCAACTCATGACTGTAATTGAGACCAGAATTTTCATTGCAAGTCATTGCAAATTGAATCAGACATGAATTTAGAATGGTTTTTAATGATGCTCATTAAGCAAATCAGCACAGGCGTTAAGCAAATCACATGGTTCTTAAACAAATCCAGCTTTGCCAATGGGTCTTTTTTGCCATTGTAACGGTCATAACTGCGAGTACAAGTTGCAAGTCACATTTTCCAAGGCCATTATAATTTTCAATAAATGAATAGTCATAAGTTCAGGACTACCTGTATGCGTGTTTGTGTGTCCATTTATTCATATTCTTTCAGTGACAGTTTGAAGTTACAGCAGCATTGAATGAAGGGACCTACAACTGGTCCTGGAGCAACCTCTTCAGAGAACAGGGAGAAGAGCTCTTAAGATTGTTTGCTTAAATGCAAGAAAGAAGGATAAGACATGAATGAGAGGGCTGTTTGGGTTTGTCAGAAAACTTAAGAAGAGAATTTCAGTGAACTCTTTGAAATATAGATTGTTTGAAATTTGAAATAAGACCTGAGGAGAACACTACTTAATCAGACTTACTGTAAACTAATGAATATTCAGAGCACTCCTATCTGTGCCATTTGAAAGGGAAAAGCAAATTTTACTAGAATTTACTTCCAAATAATCCTGCATAGAATTCTGCCACAAAAACCATAGCTTGATTTGATCACAATCCTATAAATTTCTGATCAGAAGGAAGCCTTTTTCAGCAAAATGAAGTTCAATGTAAAGCTTCCCCAAATTACCTCAGATGCTGCCAGAAGAGAACACAACTTGGAGCCCTCCACTGGTTTTGGACTACAACGCTCAGATTTTCCAGCCAGCATCTCTTACCCCCAGTGGGGGGGTTGGAGTGCTGGATATGTTTACAGTTGTTCTTCCTGAATTGCTTCTTCACCCTGCTCCGCTACAATTGCCATCACTTCCCTCATGCTGGCTTGAAATGGTGGACATGTAATCCACTTTATCAGGAAAATTACAGGCAGGGAGATTAACCTGCATTGTGTGTATGAATTATTATTTCCTCATTCTGCAAGTGATCTTGTATAAAAATATAATGTAGATCCTTCTTGCTATATCAGAATTAAAGTTTCCCTTCTTTTTTCTGACTTATTTCAAAAGAGAAAGATTTTAAATACATTTTGTTTCATAGTAACCTCTAAGATTTCCCCGTTTTTTTCAGATTATTGAGGACAGATGGTCAGGGATTTTTTTCCCCTCTTCCAAATAGGAGACTTTGTATTTCAAGTGTTCCTAATGTGCTTCTGTAAACAACTTGACTTGGCTGGTTTTCCTCTTTGACCAAGCATTTGTGGTGTACTGGTTGAATCCTCATCACAAATAATCCAGTTCAGGATTTGTACTAATTTATGCCTTGATGCAATAATTTTAAGTGATTCATAAAAATCTTGAATGTTCTGATCATGAAGTACCTGGGAAAAAAGGCTGTGCTAAATGCTTGATGGCCAGTTTCTTCCAGCCATCTATTTTTGCAGTCCTAGGGAGACAACAAATTGTAAGAATATTAATTTCCTCGATAAACCAATGCTTCATTTCTGCTTGAGAGTCATGCACTTAAGACACTTAAGAGTCTATTCAGGACACTTAAGAGTCAGCTTCAATTGGAGCAGCTTATCAACTTTACAAAATAAACCATATCTAAGATAATATAAATACTACTATCAGCTATTGATTCTTTGGAGGTTACTAAGTGTACTTCTCAAATATTTTATTTTTAGCATTGAAAGATTGGAAAAGTTGTACTTTTCCATATGTTTAGTCTCAAACATTATTGTAGTCCATATTCTAATAACACCAATGATGTGTTAGATTTTCCCTATAACATTTATTTCCATTTAAATTAAATTTAAAGAGCCGTGGTGGTGCGGTGGTTAAAACACAGTACTAAGGTACTTCTGCTGACTGCCAGCTGACTGATATTTGGCAATTTGAATCTCACCAGGCTCAAGGTTGACTCAGCCTTCCGTCCTTCTGTCGGTAAAATGAGGACCCAGATTGTTGGAGGCAATATGCTGACTCTATAAACCGCTTAGAGAGGGCTGTAAAACACTGTGAAACAGTATATAAGTCTAAGTGCTATTGCTATTTAAATGCATTTATTCCTTTAAAAGAAAGCCCATGTTCATGCTAAGTGCAATCAGCCTAAAAACAGATGATTTCTTCTGGCAAAGGAACATGCACCATCTTTTTATATGTAAA